ATTATTATTAACAGGTGACATCCATCATTTCATGAATCTCTCAGGTTCTAGTTTTCTTAAAGTCTTTATCCTACCTTCCCATGCAGCTGAAAAAATTGATCTTGTAAAAACTGGTTCACTGCAATTTCACAATACCTGAGTGTAGTATGCTGAATGGCGAATCCCCAAACATATATCCATGTCTTAATCACCAGAACCAATGATCCTGACTTTTTTGAAAAAAGGAAATATATTTGTTAAATGTGACCTTATACTGAAGATACAGTTCAGTTGAGGATGTCAAGTTGATATCACCTTAGATTATCTGTATGCACTTTAAGTCCAATGACAAACTTTCTAAAAACAGGTAAGTTGAGAAAAGAGAAAGAGAAGAAGCCCTTTTAATGATAGAGACATGAACATACGAAGCCACCAAAAGCTGGAATAAGCAAAGAAGGGTCCTCCATAGGAGCCTTAAGAAAGAGCAGAGCCCCGCCAGCATCGTCTTCACATACATGGCCATGAGAACTGTGAGAGAATACACTGTCTCTGAAAGCCACCCACTCCGTGGTAATTTGTCACCGCAGTCGCAGGAAACTAATACAAGCAACAGCATTTATACGATGCAGTAACTACACCACAAGTGGAAGTGAAAGAGGGGGCGCATGCTCTGTGAAAGAGGTTATACAACACCTGCCAGCATTCTTTCAGCATCATGTGCCCCAAATGAGATGTCATTGTCATTTAGAACTTGGAGGACCAAGTAAGACTATCCTGACTTTACCTCTGATGAATTGGGTTTAAAAAGGTTTAGGAATTTTTCCTAAAGGCCATTACAAGTAAGTAAGGGAGTCAGGATTTGTGCTCAAGTTTGCTCTTTCCAATATATAATTTTGGCTTCTTCCATGTGGGGCTTGTTTATTGATTTTTAAAAGATTGATTTATTTACTTGAGAGGCAGAGTTACAGAGAGAGGGAGAGATAGAAAGGCCTTCCCTCTGATGGTTCATGCCCCAGATAGCCACAATGGCTACAGCTTCTTTTGGGTCTCCCATGCAGGTGTAGAGGCCCAAGCAATTGGGCCATCTTCTACTGCTTTCCAAGGCCATCAGCAGAGAGCTCAACTGGAATTGGAGCAGCCAGAACATGAACAGGGTCCCATATGGGATGCTGGCACTGCAGGCGGAAGCTTAGCCCACCACAGCACTGTGCCAGCCCCAGAGGGCTTGTTTATTTTAAACAATTTCAAACTACAGTAAGCCTGTCTTTTAGCTGGAGACAGTCTAGTACAAGCAATGGCTGACAGAGACTGAGTATCATTAACAGACTTGTAATCTTCATCTGACTGTTTTCTGAATTTTTGTAAGGGTTACAAATGTACTATCAGTAAGTTACTTGCTTTGCTTAACACCTTTAGAAAGATTTTGAGAAATCTGACTTATGAAATTGACAGCTTAGTCATATAGCAAAAATAGGTAATTTTTAAATTTTTTGAATATGAACTATGAGTATAATGTATTAGGCGAAGTTTGGTAAACTCTGACCTAAACTCTTGGCACATTTCGGGGGAGATTCCAAAAGTTTTTGTGTCCATGTTCAGAAGGCGTTCATTCCTAGCATGAGAAATTACGCCCAAAGAAATTCTCTTGGAATGAAACTTTAAGGAAAATAAAGTCACTTTGTAGCTACCCGCTAAACGTCCTTCCTAAATTACAGATGCTCTCCTGGTTTTCTCCTCAGACAAAGTGAACAAACTGCTGAGATTGTGAACATTTGTTATTGTCATAGCAGAAGGTAAACTATTTTCATAAATATGCAAATATCTCCTACTGGGCTTCTCTAATACTTCCAGCAACTCTGCGGCAGTGTATGTCTATTTCAAATCTGATGATATTAAAAAAGAGGAGAAAGTGCAGAGCATGCAGCTTGGACTCATTTCTGCCCAGGAAAGCTAGCAATTAGAGCAGGGGTAGGCTAGCAGGCCCGGGATAATGAACAGCACCAAGCTAACTTGCTTAATGTCATCTTCCTCCGGGCCTGAGGATGTTGTCAAGCAGCAGGCTTTGTTTCTGTGGGGAAAAACAGTGAAACAAGGACAATCTTGTTATGATCTCACTGCTTGTGTACTCAGAGGGTTGTATTCTGCAGATGAACAGTGTTACATACATCAAACACATGTGAGCCTCTTATAGTTGCTTGCCTATTTGTCTCAGTTTGGGGGATTTTCTCTCCCCATAGTGAGAGCTTAGAGAAGTTAGGGACCCCTGTGGACAGTCCCTAGAATGTCTACATACTCATCCCCACTGTTGAAGCCAAGGGGGCTCTCCTTAAGTGTGGGTTGAATGAATAAATGAATGAGTGAATAAGAGGGAAAGCTACATATAATGATTAAAAAGGCTGTGGAATCAACTGGGACTTTCCCAAGCACTCTGCAGCTACTTCATCTCGGACTACCTTGCAATATCTCTGTCCTTTGGGTTTCATCATCAATGCCAATGTATATAACTCAACAAATCTTAGGTACTGGATTCCTGGCAGCTGTTAGTATTTTCTCAAGATAGTGAGTTCCATGGCTGACCTGGAGAAAGTAGGCCTAAGAGGGAACTAGTTTTCTCTTACTGGAAAAATATTTTTGAGCAACTGTGGTGCGATAGATGCTGTGTCCAGATCTTGAGATACAGACAGAGTCTCTACTCTCATCACCTGGTGGAGAGACTCAGACCCAAACTGAAAATAAAAATGTAAAATATATTATCTGATATTTTAAAGTCACTATTAGTATTAAAATAATATGATCAATGTTATTAAGAGTAAGGCACAGGGGAGGGTTTTTGTTGTGGTGGCTAAAATGCTTGAGACATCCATATCCCTTATTGGAATGCATGATTTGAGTCTCAGGTCCTCCGCTTCTGATCCAGCTTCTTGATCACGCACACCCTGAGAAGGTAGCAGGTGATGACTCAAGTTGTTGGGACCATGTCACCCACAAGAGAAATCTGGTACAGTTTTGGGGCTTCCGTTTTCAGCATGACCCAGCCTGGGTTATTAAGAGCATTTGATGAATGAAATTAGTGCATTGAAGATCTTTCTGTGTCTTTCAATCTTTCAAATAAAATGAAAAGAAATAAAATTTTAAAAATAAATAAGGTTTAAATAAAATAATAAAGAGCTTGCCATTCTTAATAAAAAAATTCATGCACAAGAATCAATGACAATATGGAAAAGCAATGCCAAAGAAGACAATGAGGCAGACATAGTTTTATGTGGGAAATAATTGTTGACCTTATTATATAAAATAAGTAGGAATGTGGGGAAATGGGATGAATGAAGGACAAGATGCATTTCAGGGAAAGCCATTGCAAAGATACATGAGCACCTACTGGTATTCCTAAGACAGCTGTATACATGACTTACCCTCAAATATTTCCACCAAAATGTCTCCACCACCCCTTTCTTTTGCACACTGGCCAGTCTTTCCTATGCTTCCTGGTAAGGTGGACTGCCAAGTTTCTGAGGCATCAGATTGTACAGTAGTAATAGACATAGCTCTGTGTGGAAAAGCTGAAGTTCCCTCACAGGAGGGTGCGTGATCATGGGACAAGGAAAGTCCTAGGTTTCAGAACACATTGCTCTTCTTCATAAATTTGTCAAAAAGTAGTCCTTCTGAATTTGCAAGGTTTAGAGCAATCTGCATTTGAGGGTCACGTAATTAACTTCCTACATCATTTCCAGATATCAAAGTTTGGTTCTTGAGCTCCCTTAAACAGCTGTTGCCTCGCCACATGCTATGTCTGCATTTGGATTTGGAGGAGGGCTGGGATAGGATGTGTTACTTCCCAAGGCAAATATTTACTGTTACATCCTATTGAATGCCACTTGCCCTCTCTGATTCAAAAGGCTCTTTTTTTTTTTCCTGTGCAGTTTGCTGAATAGCTCACCTAAGACACAGCTATAAGAATTATACACTTGAGAATGGAATGATAGAGGGGAAAATGTCTTAATGTGATGAGGATTGGAGTGAGTGTTCATAAACAAAACATCTCAAAGATCTTTTTCTACCTAAATTGTGCCTTGTGGGTCTTAGGGGTCCCTTGTAAATGGTCCTAGGTTCTGTCTTGGGTCTTCAGGATCAAGTGATCTCTTCCTCACCTCCATTTCTAGCAAAATAACACACATAGCAGGTATTTACACTGAGCTTCTCAGCAGCATTTCCACCATTTCCAGTATTTGAAAAACATGATCTGAGGAGTTGTGCTCAAATGTCAACAGGCATCAGAGTCAACTGAAGAATTTAAGGAAGCACTGATGATGAACCCTTACCCCAACCCCCAGCATCTGATTCAGTAGGCCTGGGATGGGGCTTGAAAATTTGTGTGTATAACAAGCTCCAAATGATGTTGGTGCCAGTGGTATGGTGATCACACTTTGAGAATCAATGATCTATCTATATAGTAGTAACAAGGAAGCAAAACTGAGTGACAGCAGCTCTAGATTTTACTCCTAAAGGTATCATTAAATAGCAGCAAACTCTGTCTTAGCTTGAGGTTCTATGACCTGTAAAACTGTGAGGGAAAAAGGCATATTTTCCAGATACTATAATAGGAAATTGACTCCAAATGACTAAAAACAAAATGGAATTGATTGGTACATGAATTAGAGAAGTCCTTGTGTGTGCAACAGACTGAGTGGCTGGCCCACTTGCCCAACATCAGGCTTCTGTACGTTTTCATTACCCACCCCAAATCCACAAAAACCATTAGCAATGCCAGACACGAGATGATAGTTCAAAAAGTTCATAGGAAAGTAAAATTAAAAGAAAAGTTCATTTTGGAAAAAAATATTTTAAAAGCCATGCACTGAATTTTTATAATATGCCTTTCTGTGCTCTATAAATTTAGTAATCTTTGAAGATGTCTCTTTTTATAATAGTTCCATGCAAAAAATACTGATGTTAGTGCTCACTTCTTTTTTAAAAAATATTTATTTATTTGAAAGTCATAGTTACACAGAGAGAGGAGAGGTGGAGGGTATGGGTGGGGGGGGGCAGAGAGAGAGAGAGAGAGGTCTACCATCTGATGGTTCACTCCCCAATTGGCTGCAACAGCTAGAGCTGTGTCGATCCAAAGCCAGGAGCCAGGAGCTTCCTCCAGGTCTCCCACGCAGGTGCAGGGGCCCAAGGACTTGGGCCATCTTCCACTGCTTTCCCAGGCCATAGCAGAGAGCTGGATCGGAAGTGGAGCAGTCGAGTCTCAACAAGCGACCATATGGGATGCCAGTGCTTCAGGCCAGTGCGTTAACCTGCTGTGCCATAGTGCCGGCCCTGGGTGCTCATTTCTTGAACTAGGTCTTGAGGACCAATTTGAGACTCTGCCCAGATGAGGTACCTGTGCAGATTCATGAAACTAAAAGGTAAGGCAAACAGAATCAGACCACATAAAATGAACATGGAGCTTATTCCATGACATTACACCATGATGTTGCTATCCAAAGAAAGTGGAGTGGAGAGGCAACACTAGAAGATTGTAACTCTGGGTTAAAGTGAACAATATTTTACAACGTTATTTACAAATGTTTTACAACATTACTTTAACCAATGGACTAATAGCCAAGATTATGTGAAACTTTCTTTAAAGGAATTTGTCATCAAAAGTCATTGGAAGTTTATTTTTTCTCCTTTGTAATATAAAATCACATTTATTGGTTTACATGCTTTTGGAATATTACCTCTTTCCCAAGTGTATGCCCCATGGATGAGATCAGGGAAGATATGGTTGCCAGTGAAGGAGCAGAGGTTTTGGAGTCTGTCAGTCAGACTTGAAGTTGAATCCCAACAACACCATTGACTATTTGTGTGACACTGAACTATTTGCATTGTCCTTTTGGTTTCTGTGGAATGGGGATAGCAATATTTATTTTAAAAGGTGATGGTGGAAATCACATAATTAGGTGATTTCTGTAAATGAGTAAATAAATGAAATTTATTTGCAAGGAGGAAGAGAGGGGGAGAGAGAGCAAAAGAGATCTTACATCTTCTGGATCACTCCCAAAGGTCTGCAACAGCTGGGGCTAGTAGGCCAGGTCAAAAGAGCCAGGAACTCAATTGATGTCTTCCACAAGGATGGCAGTCCCAGAGTCCACGTTAGCAGGGAAATGGAATTGGAAGCAGAGCATGGACATGAACTCAGGCACTCTGAAACAGTATGAGGGCATCCCAAGCAGTGCCAAATACTCACCCTGAGGCGATGTCTTGTAACATGTGCCAACGTACAAAGACTCAATAGACAGCTATTCATGTTACTATTACCAAACTTGGTAGGGTCTATTTGTGAAGATGGTCTCAAGGCCAGTTAGAAACAGAGGGTTGTATGGGAAGGAGGATACACAGCAGATTCATAGAATGGCAGATGTCCTAAACAGCACTCTGGCCTCAGAATCAGCTGTTAAGGCATTCAGATCTGGCTGAAAAGCCCATGAGAGTTTCTCAGGCATGGAAAGCCAAGACACTGTGGCAAAAAAAAAAAGTGACCTAAATGAAAGATCTCTATGAGTGAGATCCCAGTGGAAAGTATAGGCCATCAAAGAAGGAGGTACCTTTTTCTGAAGGTAGGAGAGAACTTCCACTTTGACTAGGGCCTTATCTAAATAAGATTGGAGTTGATGAACTCAAGAGGCTTCCATAGCCTTGGCAGCTCATGACAAGAGCCTTGGGTGATTATTGACATCATAAATAAGAGTGTCAATTGTTAAACCAACAACAGGAGTCACTGTGCACTTACTCCCCATGTAAGATCTCTGTCCTTAATGTGTTGTACTCTGTGAATTATCAGTAAAACTACCATTAAAACAGTATTCTATACTTTTTGTTTCTGTGTGGGTGTGAACTGTTGAAATCTTTACTTAGTAAATACTAAATAGATCTTCTGTATATAAAGATAATTGAAAATGAATCTCTTTTTATTTATTTATTTGACAGGTAGAGTTAGACGGTGAGAGAGAGACAGAGAGAAAGGTCTTCCTTCTGTTGGTTCACTTCCCAAATGGCTGCTATGGATGGCACTGTGCCAATCTGAAGCCAGGAGCCAAGTGCTTCCTCCTGGTCTCCCATGGGGGTGCAGAGGCCCAAGCACTTGGGCCATCCTCTACTGCCCTCCTGGGCACAGTGGAGAGCTGGACTGGAAGAGGAGCAACTGGGACTAGAACCCGGCACCCACATGGGATGCCGGTGCCGCAGGCGGAGGATTAACCAAGTGAGCCATGGTGCCAGCCCCGAAAATGAATCTTAATGAAGAATGGAATGGGAGAAGGAGTGGGAAATAGGATGGTTGCAGGTGGGAGGGAGTTATGGGGGGAAAAGCTGCTTTAATCTGAAAGCTAAAATAAAAAGAGAGGGTTATTTCAGTATATGGACAGAGACACCCCGATGACCAGTTTTTAATGACATCACCAATTTGGCAGACTAGGATTTGTTTTCTTCTTCCCCCAACTCACACAGAGCCCTAACATGTTTTTAATAAGGAATCTGGAGCGTTTCTGGGAGTTTATAAAATAAGGCAGAAAGTAGACTGAGATGAACATAAAATATAGAGGGAAAACAAAGCCAACCTGGAATCAGTGGGAAACTTCATTTTCTTTAATTAGCATATTTAAGTGAAGCTTAGAAGCAGCTCCTTCCCTGAAACATTGCATTTTATTAAAAGCTGTTTAGAGCTCATAACCATTCTGCTGATTTTCTCAAAACATGCTCTCCTTATAGGCCGGTGCTAAACTGTGCATATGAAATGAGCTTAGCTTAATGTTGTGTTAAAAGAATTTGGTCTCCAGAGCTGTCTCTCTTCTTAATAATATGTAATCATACTCCATCTATTTAGTTTTCATTTAACTTGCCCCATGCAGGCAATGAATCCAGTTTAATTAAATGTGCCTTTAAATAGTCGAATGGCAGTCATTTGCACCTAGCAAGCCTCCCTTTCATCCTATTAAGACCCCCTCAAGATATAAAAACCCAATAAAGAGGCCATGTAAGATGTGTGTCTGATAATGCAGAGGAAGGCTGACATTTGCTCCGTAATTTAGTGGAACCTGTGGTAGCTTTCGGGCACATTGTCACAGCTGAGTGGAGCTGGTATGGGGCCTCTTGGGTTCTGGATCAATTCTTATAAACAGCACATTTGGAAATGAGCTGGTGATCCTTTGGGCTAGAGCCAGAAATGCACGGAGGTCCACAGAGACACAAGACAGTTGCCTATCAGAGCTCTCAGAGTCCCCCTCTGTAGAAGGGATGGCCTGTACCTCTGGCCATGCTCCCTGAGAGTACTGGGGCTGCATCTCCCAATTATAAGATTTGGTAGGCCGGCGCCGCGGCTCACTAGGCTAATCCTCCGCCTTGCGGCGCCGGCACACCGGGTTCTAGTCCCGGTCGGGGCGCAGGATTCTGTCCCGGTTGCCCCTCTTCCAGGCCAGCTCTCTGCTGTGGCCAGGGAGTGCAGTGGAGGATGGCCCAGGTGCTTGGGCCCTGCACCCCATGGGAGACCAGGATAAGTACCTGGCTCCTGCCATTGGATCAGCGCGCTGCGCCAGCCACAGCGCGCCAGCCGCGGCGGCCATTGGAGGGTAAACCAGCGGCAAAGGAAGACCTTTCTCTTTGCCTCTCTCTCTCTCTGCCTGTCAAAAAAAAAAAAAAAAAAAAAAAAAAAAAAGATTTGGTAGAAGCTCTGGGAAGCGCATCCTAAAAACTGAGAGCAGAGGGTTTGATGGTATTTTTTTTTTAAAGAAAGTCTAAATAATAGTATTATATATACTTAGAGTACTGGGGGCCGGCTTGTGGCACAGTGAGTTAATGCCCTGGCCTGAAGTGCTGGCATCCTATATGGGTGCCAGTTAGAGACCTAGCTGCCTCACTTCTGATCCAGCTCTATGCTATGGCCTGAGAAAGCAGTAGAAGATGGCCCAAGTCTTTAGGCCCCTGCACCCACGTGGGAGACCCAGAAGAAGCTCCTGACTCCTGGCTTCGGATCAGCGCAGGTCCGGCTGTTGTGGCCAACTGGGGAGTGAACCATCGGATGGAAGATCTTTCTCTTCCTCTCCTTCTCTCTGTGTAACTCTTTCAAATAAATAAATAGACAAATCCTTTTAAAAAATTAGAGTATGAATTGCTACAATGATCATCCAAATCCTTAAATCTCTCAGATGAGGAATGGGCTTTACTCAATTTAGTGCTTCAGAATATAGCATTTAATTATTTCTTCAATTTCTGCCAAGTGCTGGCCCTTGTTAAAGACCTAGGACACGTGGGGCCAGTGTTAATGCCCTGGTCTGAAGTGCCAGCATCCCACATGGGCACTGGTTCTAGTCCCAGCTGCTCCACTTCCCATCCAGCTCTCTGCTATGGCCTGGGAAGCCAGAAGAAATTGGCCCAAGTCCTTGGGCCCCTGCACCCATGTGAGAGACCCAAAGGAAGCTCCTGGCTCCTGGTTTCAGATTGGCACAGCTCTGGCTGTTGTGGCCAATTGGTGAGTGAAACAAAAGATCTAGGACCTCTCTTTCTCCCTCTGCCTCTCCTCTCTCTGTATAACTCTGACTTTCAAATAAATAAATAAATCTTAAAAAAAAAAGACCTAGAACACAGTGGTAAATGATAAAAAAATCTTTGTTCTCTGGAGGCCTATATTCTAGTTGGCAGTGGCCATGGTAGGGGATGCAATAAACAAAAACAGTCAACAAGAAAATAAAAAATATATGGTGTCAGGTGGTGAAAGGAAAGAAAACCAACCAGGTTTAAGGGCAGAGATATTAGTATGGTGGGAGTGGCTAGAGTAGAGTGGACATATCAGAGAAGCCTGCTCTGTTAGTATTTTATAGGGTGAGAATCAATACTCTTGTTGGTTATATGGTCTGAGCTAAGTTCAGCGTTGGAGGGTTTCAACTGTGTGTGGAAGACTGGCTACACCTTGTAACTCCATTGGTTGGCTTAGTTGATGAGGTTAACTGAGTGGGGCCCCCTTTTTTATCTATCTTTCCAGAATGGGATGCAAAAGAAGATTTTTTTTTCCAATTATTCTCCTAAGGACTTAAAAGTGGCACGGTATTTGGTTTTCTCTGAATTTTAATGTATGTAAGCTTTGCCTGCCTAGGGAGAAAGCAACTCTTCAATGGTGAGGGCTCAGTCATTTAATTATTTATTTCCCATGCAACAAGAATGCCTTGGAATATAGGGCAATTTTAACTCTCAAAATGTGATATGACTTTTAAATGTAAATTTGGTTCTTTGTGTTTTTCAAAATATTGGTGTCTGTGTTTCAACAACCCTGCATGATAGAGATCTGTAATACTGAGCTCTGTAGTTTTGGGAAAATTCATTCATTTATCAAATATGTTTTCTGTTCCGGGATTCATTGCTTTGTAACTCAGCTTTCATATTTAAAGTTTTGATAAGGTAGGATAAATAACTACCCCAATGTACATAAGAGATGCTAAGTATGTATGAGCTTTTCTTGAGTATAGGCATGTGTAGGAGGATGATAACAGAAGGGGGAGCTATTGTGCAAAAGAAATAGGGGCCAAGTGGTGATGGCCTTTCTAATCCAACTGTGATGGAGGTCAAAAGAAGTCTTGTAAACAAGGAAATAGCATGGCCATATGGTCATGCTGGAGTCTGTGTACAGAACAGGTCAAAAGGAGTTGAGAGTTGAAACAGAAAGATCATTTGCAGGGACCCAGCTAGTAAATAAAGGTGGCTTGGGTGTACAAAGGAGATGAAGAGAAGGAAAGAGACACAATGTCTGACTTGATGCTAAAATGAACAGGACTTGATTAAAGTGAAGGAAGTAATTGAAAGGAAAGAGATTTCCAGTATTCTAAGTTTAGCAACAAAACCATTTTTTGAGGGAAGTAATCCTCAAAGATCAATAGGTTTGACCTTCAGTTTCTACATATCATACTGAGATTCATAATGAGAGCAGAGGCTCAAAGCTCAGAAGATAATGTGGGGCAGGAGAATATGCATATCTAAGTGTTGTTTCCAGTCCTGGCTGCTCCACTTCCAATTCAGCTCCCTACCAATGTGCCTGGGAAGCAGCAAATAATGATCCAAGTGCTTGAGTTCTTGTCACCCATGTGGGAGACCAAGCTGGAGTTCCTAGCTTCTGAGTTCAGTAGAGCCCAGCCCTGGCTGTTGTCACTATTTGTTGCTGCCATTTGCAGAGACATTAGAACCCTAGGTCACTCTCTGTCACTGTGACCTTCAAATAAATATTAAAAATAAAATAAAATCATGGGAGGAGATGAGAGCACCTGGGGAGACAGTGAGGTATGAGAGGAGAGCCAGGACAAGGTCTCTGAGAAACCCCACAACTTAGGGCCTGTGCAGAAGAGAAGGAAACAGTGAGACTGAGGAGTGGCAACTAATGCAGGAAGAGATCATAGCAACAAGGATGAGAGAGTGATTCAAGAGGAGGGCAGTTATCTGTTCTGCTAAAACAAAA